AACAGAACAGAACAGAACAGAACAGAACAGAACAGAACAGAACAGAACAGAACAGAACAGAACAGAACAGCGCAACCAAAGGCCTTTTTGCACTGACTTACATATCGTGTCATCTAGCGGTATCTCTCTTTGCTGTTTTCTGTTTGTCATCTCACACGAATTCAATCTTTCATCCCTGGTCGGCTGAAATGATTCTTCATCAAACTGTACGTGATCAGGTCAACAACCTTCTGTTTCTAGTGAATACGAATCTTCCAGATTTCTCTTCGCTCACCGCACAATGTACACAGGCATAAAAATAACAAAATAAAAATCCCTCCTCAAATGTTGCATTTTTTAAAGTCCAAAAGATAGAAATTTTAAAACTGTGAAATGAAGACATTGTAAATCTAGGCGGCGCCACTTTCTCGTACAGAACGACGTGTTTATTCCTGCTTTCTGAAGCTAATTTAACTGTATCCTTCCTTATCTTAATAAGAAGCCGCACTTCTGTGTATTGCGATTAAGGTTCATAATTCAAACCAATGTACTATTTTTTTTCCTTTGAAGCTTGCGGCTATTTCCATTAGGCTTTAAAGGGAAAAAACGCATAGCGGACAGAGCTTATATTCTTTAATTTTCACATTCCTCCGTGCAAGACTTCCTGGGTAGTCCATAGTAATCCATTTATAATTTTAAGCGTTTTATTTTAGTTTTACGAATAGACTTTCTTTCTTTACTCGACATTCGCAGACATGACCACGTTTTCATCCGCGTTTTCCTGCATTTCACTTACCTTTTGCAAACCTTCTCACCAAAGACGGCATTTCTTAATATATTTTATACCCAACATGAAACTCTTTTTTATATTCTTTTTCTTTAATCCTAAAGACTTTTTTCTATTTACTTGTCAAATAATAAAAGGTTTGCAGATGTGTTTAAGATTCTCTACTTGTCGACACTACCGCGCGAACTCTAGCGCAAACTAAAGTTAACTGGAATAATAGGTAATCTTCTTAAATAGCTCTATAAGTAAAAACCATTTACTTAGAGCTTGCACCAGCTTAAGTATAATCCTTACATTTGGCCCCTAATACTGGTGTATCTGACATTTAAGTACATAGTCAATATACAAAGCTAAGTGCTTTGCGGAGCTTTTGAAAGCTGCTGGATTTTTTTTTCTTTTTTCCTTCAGTCTTAGTTCTCGCTCGGAATTCGTGGTTGATTGTTTCATGGTTCAGATAAACAGATGGTTTTACATTCCACTTAGCTTTAATAACACACACAATAAGGTTAAAATCAAAGGGTCGTGAAGAATGGAAGTAAGAGCAAATGGTTTTCATTGGTGCGTTAGTGTTTGAATTGCAGCCACGAGGATAGCGGTTCCTGTGATATGCTTAGACCCCAGGGACTTGCAGTGACAATTACTCTAACTCACTTAAGCTTGACGACCTCACAGCTAACCGACTCGTGGGTTTATTCTTAACGCAGCACCACTCACAGCTAAATTATCGATTTGAAGTAACTTCAAACCGACTCAATTAAGGTCAGTTTTTGAGTCACTAGCACACCGCTCTTGCTTATGCACAAAGGGACAGTCCGCTTTTGTTTAGAGGTCTCTTGAATTATTGTTCCAATTACTCAACACTTTGAACCAATCATAGACATCCTCACTCAGTCGTGAAGACTCTATAAGTGAACTTGGTGACATGACTTCAAAAATTGTCTGTTAAGAAACATGAGTGCGAAGAGCCGATGGATTGGTGGCCTAAGAAACGAATAAACTGGACTAAGCCGTCAGCCCATCTTCTGGCGAGATCGATGGAGGAATGGCCGAATTGTTTCACGTAATACTTTGGGTTATAATTCTAAGCGTAAGTTGGTCGACAGACTGAAAACAAATCGCATTAAGTAAAGCATTAATATGGTTGATCAAAGACGACTTAAAATTCATGTATCAATCTTGTAAATTTTTATTGTGTGTGACAGGGAAGTATTGAAGTTACGACGTCGCGGGTTGCTTTAGAAAAGTGTCAAGATTCGACAGTAAGTTTATATGTTTTGAATATTTATAATCGTATTACACGCAGTAAGCCCACTTTATGACCGTCTTTTTAATTGAAATTGAAATACTTATCCTCCAAGCGAAAACACTCTTGTTTATATTTTTAGTCTCAGACTGAGTTGAATTCATTCCTATGGTTGATTAAGAGGTCTCCACCAGCGTATTTCTTTGGAACAATCCACGTACCTTATACTCGAGTATGGGACTACATACCTATTAACAGCAAAGAGGCTTTCACGAACAGCCAAAATGTGTATTTTGAACTGGACTTGACCAACGAAAGCACTATGCGAGCTCTCGTAAAATGTCAGCTATTGCCTACGGGAAAGTTGCTAAAACATATCATTCCACGAAGGATGTACAAACGCTTGAAATCTCATCTAAAATACATCAGGAGAAAGATTCCTTCGTGGTTGCATAGAAAGGACAGTCGGTACGGAACTCACGGGACACCCTACGCTGATCGACTCTACGAACTTTTAACTAAAGATTGGGAACGTAAAAGACCGATATGGGTAATGTTAATGGTGAATTCGCTAACTGAGAGCGATATAAGGAATCGCGGGATTCCCGTTTTAGATCAATACCTCGCGATACAGGCTTCGAGGGGTAGCAAACTTATTGGTGCAGTGGAGAACGTTGAAGAGCAGTGCAGTCCCCTAAACACCTTGAACGTGTCTCAGGTTTGTATGATTAGAATTCTGTCATTGCTTAAACAGTGTTTAATCTATGAGCCACGAAAAGTATAGCTGTCGTGGCTATAGAGTTTATTTTTGATCTGAATTCATTTGTCAGATTGATGCTCAAAGTCACTCCATCTTTATGCGCTTCCCTAGAATGCATGTCAAAATGTTCGGTGTTTAAAAATTACCTTTATTCAAGACAAGAGCATTTGTTATTATCTTCGCAAGTTGAACTAGAATTGCATGCTTGATAGCTTAGTCAAGCTGAACGAACGATTGAGATATTGCTTCTGCTTCGCGTTCAGTAACACAAACCAACTGTGCATCGAATGCGGCGCCTAGTCCTAATTCGTACCACAACTTAATATACGATGTGTGTAAACGCTCGACTTTACTTCATGCTAATCCAATGCAGACGACAGTATTATATATCTTCTTAGCATCCGTCGCGAATTCGTAATTCCTCTTGCTGTCTTTGTTGTTCATACGATAGCTTACTTGTGGTGGTACACTGTATATCAATACGGACAGATGGCTTACTATTTATGAGATTTGGACAAGTCGTTTCTAAATTGCTGTATAAACTGATCGACGGCGTTCTAATTAGCTTACAATAGCAACATAAACACGCTAGCGGTTGGGTTTTGCTCGAATTTAGTGTCATTGAACAGTAATTCAATAAGAAATACAATGTCACGCTGATCCTGATGCGGCTAAAACAATCTTGAGGTCAAAAACGTTTCTCCGGAAACTCAATGTATACAGTTAATAAAGCTCAATTTTCAACGTCTAAGGAATGCACTTATCTTAACTCGACATCTATTTTCAGATTTTAAAAGCTTGGAAAATTGCTTTTAGGTCTAGATTTCCAGATTGGATTTCCGAAGTTTATCTTTGCGCTCGCACCACGTGCCAAGTTTTGAAGATACCTATCGTCCGAGCTCGGTACCCTGAAACACTGATATCGTTTGACTTCGTTGTGAATGTTATTGTTATTTTAAACATATGTGTAGTTGTCTTGTGCAATTTGCGCCTTTCTTATCAAAACACATTCCTGTAGATGCGATATACCGCCGGGATAGTCTGAGCGTCGAGCACATGGCTTGGTTTATATTACTCCTTAATGAAAGTAGACTATCAGAATCAGCACTGAAAAAAAAGCTATGCGGCGTGACGACGGAGTATTATGTCAATAGAGTATTTTATTGAACAATAGTTTTAATCAATTTAAGAGGGAAAATGCACAATATACCCTTAGGGGGTTCTTTCTGTATATGACTGTGTTTCATATATCGATATTAATTTTTGTGTGGCGGTCGCTAAGGTCAAAGATGATACCAGCTCACCTCAGAGGGGAGCCGTTGTTGAACGAGTATAATTCTCTTAACAACACTTAGCTCAATCGAAATTCAATTATCCTTTGATATGTTTAATTAAATATGCAAACACTAATGAAGGCTCTCCTAAAACACTTGTATGTGTTAATTAATTGCCTGGGAGTGTGTTTTGAAAAGAATTCGCTCGTCAGTACTTTGATAAAAACTGTCGTAGTTCGAAAATCATGTGGGTTTTCTTTAGTACGATGTTTAAAAAATGCGTTTCTGCATTCTTCGGTTAAACAAAGCGCTAAAAACGTCGTTGAAAACGCATTAGCTACACTTTGAACCTTTCCTTAACTTTCAAAGCTAAACGCAATTCGTTTTTTTAACTTAATACAAATAGAACTTTTGCTTAAGTTCTATCAACTTTGTTTTGAAACAGAAAATTTTGCAGAACGTTAATTCGTGCTCACAATCCATTGTGACGCTAAATCTTTTCACAAATCTTTGTAAACAACTTTAATTATTCCAATACATTTAGAAACAAAAGAAAATCCTTTGACAGCGCTGGATAAACATGATTCGGTTTGAGATTACAATCTGTAGAAAAAATGGCACCGTGTCAGTAAACGACGACCACTGGCGCCATTTCGGAAGCAGTTGTCCGTTCTCACTACGAGTTAAAACTGAAAATATTCAATAATATTACCTAAGAGTCGCCAATGCTTTTAATGCTTTTTATAAAATAACAAACAAACAATCTGGTTCTTCTGGTATTCTGTTCTTAATCCTCTTTATTTATAGCTGGAATAAGATTATTAATCAATGAGTTTGTTGTAGTGAAGTTATGTTACGTTGAATTTATTCTGTTTGTTTTGCAATGAAGTTTTGTTGTTTATACAACTTCATGCGAATAAAAAAACTGTTCAGTGGAATGAAGACAGTGTTTTTGTCGTTTTACTCAAACGTTATTTGATAAACTTTTGTTATGTCCGTCCGTCGAAGGCATTCTCGTTCCCAGAGCTGGCGCTAATTACCAGCCGTCGTTGCCTCCCGCTGATAGCGCAGGAACTAGGAACGAGAATGCCGTCGTCCGTCGTCCGTCGTCCGTCGTCCGTCCAAATGTTTGTTCTATGTTCGTTTGCAGTTCGCTCACTCGTTTAATCTATTCTTTTGAGTTCTTCAGTGCGCGTTTTTTAAATTATTCGTTTGCTCCCCCAACTGTCCGTCTTTTCGTTCGAGTGATCGTTCTTTCTTCCAAGATTTTTGTTTCTTAGTCTTTTAGTTAGGCCTTGACCGAGCCCACGCACTCGACTTGAAGTGTATCAAACCTACCAAGGAAAGAAACCGCTGTCCACAAGAATGACTGCTTCGCACTAATAGACTGTTCTTGTTTCTGATAGGTTATCTTCGCTCTTAACCAGTCCCTTCACTTCCAAGAAAGACTGCGCCGAGGCAAAGCGCACCTGACCTACACAACAGATGACCTTATAAATCACTACAATTGTGGGGACTTGAAGACCATATTATTCTCGACCCAGTCCACTCAAGTATCACCGCTGACCGCTAATTCAACGCGTGAAGAAAGTCAGAGAAGAAAAGCCCAAAACATTGACTCCTACTTCAGGAATGAATTAATTTATCAACGGAATGTTCGTATGGCGCGAAGAGTCGTTGAACTTCTGCGTGATAATCCAGAAAAGGATTTCTTCTTTGCATTTGGAGCGGGTAAGTCCGAGGTTGGCTTCTTTTCCTTAGGCCCGGTTCATACGTCAAACTTTTCATGAACCGAACCTAACACATTGAAAATCGACCAAAGATCGTCAAAATATCTACTTTTGCTTCAGACGTCGTACCAAATTCAGTCCATCCAATTAGACTTTTCCATGTCAAGCATTTCGCAATTGAATATAATATATGCATTAGGTTCGGCTCATGAAAAGTTCGTCGTTTGAATCAGAGTAGCTCCGAAGTCGTAATTCCCAACCGCTTCAGTCGATCTTAACGATTGGTTCGATCTCAATGTTATGGTCGAACTTAATATATTTTCAGACGTCGTACTTTTCATGAACTTAATTCTTAACATTTGGTTCGGCGCATGAAAAGTTCGACGTATGAACCGGGTCTTAGGCATATATGAATCAGCTATTACCGCCGAGTCACGGACTCTTAGGCTATAAAAATCCAGTAGTTTCGGCTGTTGTATCACAGCAATATGGGACAATCAAAAACAAAACATTTAGCTTCGTGCTACTGTTGAAACGGCTCAAAAATCGAATAAGTCACTTGCATTATTTCGTCATTTACCAGAATGGCTTGAATAATTTATGTTAAATACAACCAACATTGTCTTCCTGTTCTCATGAGTGAAGACAAATGCGAATAACAAATAAAATTTGCAAAGTATTTTGGTGGTGGTAGTAAAAGGACGCCATCATGGAGAAAAACACCCTCGAGGTACAGGAGAAAACCAACAAACAACTCTACTCACATACGACACACCGAGCGTGGGAATCGAGCCCGGATCGTCTTGATGAGAGGTGACGCCATAGTAGGGCATGCGCACATCACTTCTACTTCCCACAAGATGTGAGCATAAGCTGTGTCAATGTATTCATCATTTTCCATACATTGGTTCACTGGTCAAACAGAAAGCGTTCAAGCCAGGCGCAAAGGTACTTTCAAAGGATTATTCAAATTTGAACCTTGCAACCTCGACTGAATGCTTTGTGTTTGACCAGTGAACCGATGTATGGAAAATGGTGAATATCGCTAAAATTTGGAGGTTTGGAGTTTCACTGAGCTTGTGAGCGTGGTGTGAGCTGTGCGCTTTTCTTTGTAATATGGTTTAACTTTGTAGAGCAGTCCTGTTCTTACCTCGCATACATGAATGCATACTCGACAACTTGCTAGAACTTATCGTCGCGCTTTTTGGTAAAAGGATTTATATTATGGGTTGCCTGTGATATACAAGGTATGACGTCGCTGGCATTTGAGTTTGCGTTTTTTGAATAAATGTTTTAACTTACAGTTATTGAATCGGTTCAGTCGAGAGTCGACACCAAACTTGAGAGACATAATATTCATAACATTGCATTGGATTCATCCATGCTACCCATTTGTTATCCGCGCAATAGACCTCTTTACCTTGGGCGTAATGTTTTTTCCATCACAGACCACTTGTCATTCTCTTGAGAATATGATTTTTTGTTTGAGTCGTTTCCATATTCATGAGTCTTCCCATGCAAATGTAAACAAAGAAAGGATACTCTAGGGGATGATAAAGATAATAATATAGCTTTTTACCTTGGGCTTTTTTTAAAATACCATTTCAGACCATGTGTCATTCCCTAGAGAATAATATTCTTTGTTTGAGTTGTATCCATATTCATATGTTTTCTCATGTGCAACCGAGCGCAAACCTTAAAGAAATACATGATACTCTAGGGCATGACACGTGGTCTAAAAAGGGAAAACATTACGCTCGAGCTGTAGAGTTGTTCTAATGATGAAATAAAATTGAAATTTATTTTATTTTTCTGGCAGGTCATTTTCTTGGTAACCATAGCATCATTGACTTAATAAAGAAAGAAGGATACGGTATTGAGTATGTCAAGTCTACGCAAAACCTCCCAAGGTCAGCCTCCATGACATCATATGATAGTGCAAAGCCCCTATTGGCGAAAAAAAAAAATTGTCATCGCTTATCACCACCGCAAGTACAGCAGTGGCGCAGCTCAAAGGGGTCGAACTGAAAGCATGTGAAGGCGCCTCTGGCAGCCGCTATACAGTCCATGTATGACCCCGGAGCACAGCTCTAACCAGTTTAAATTAGTTAGGGTTGGTGGGATTCGAACCCCGGACCTCAGAGGCGAGAGGCGAGCGTTTCACCATCACACCATCCTGACTCCCAAGATATCAAGTGCGCGGAGAGGAAAAAGACATTAAGATATTCTCCTCGCTTTCCTTAGCCAGTTTTCTTCCTTCTCTCTATTTCTTTCCAGAAATTTCTCCCTCCGCGAAAAATAACGAAAAACTATCTTCCTTAAATTTTTCCCGTTTTTTTCCACTTTCCTCCCATGATCCGTTCCTTTCCGCTATATCAATCTTTTTTCGTTTTCTTTTTCAGCTACAAAGCAAAAAAGTCAATTTTAACGAACAAAGAGTTCCCCAAGAAACGGGGGTGTCGCGGCAGAAGAAAAAGAAAGAAAAAATGTGAAAGTTTAAGAAACAAAAAACGCCCCGATTACAGTAGAGTTCGCTTGCTACAGAAAGCTACAAGAAGGCCGTACCCATCGAATAGGTGAGATTGCGTGACGTAGAACGGGAATTAGAGCAAATTTCGTATAACTGTGAAAAGCTCACGGCACGAGTACGATCGTGACACGTCAAGGCATATGCCAGACCAATCATACGGCACTTGAATTTGTTCTCCTTCCAATCAAATGCCCGAAACACGTCATTAACAATGCGTTGACACGGTCACGCAAATGTCACTGCAGTGCCAAACCGACCACATTGTGCTAGAAATATCCCCAAAAAAATTCTAGAAAACGTCACGGTGGCGGCAAGGCACGCATACAGCTCCAACTTTTTCACAGTCATAAAACAAATGTTGTAGTAGGGTCTGAGTCAGTGGCGTAGCGATAGTACCAAGATTTGGAGTTGGCAAGCACGCGCGTTTTTGACGTTCCGTATATGCTATGGCGCGAAAATTTCCAGCAAATCCACAGGTAGCCAAATAAAACAGAAAGAGGACAATTTTACATTTTTTGTCAAACTTGTTATGCCATTGGACTGAGCGTAAACTTTTATCCCTGAAAGATGTTACATTAAACGGTTATTTCATTCATTATTTCAATTTATTTTCAGGCCTGTCACGTCAGTCCTAAATAATGACGTTTACCAAAGAAATATGTGGTCACGAAATGCTGTGTCACGGCCAGAAATTTGGACGATGAGCTCTACTCTGATGCGTTTAGTGTTGTTGAACGTTTTGTATGGTGTAATTCGATGAGGAGTCGATGAATTTCTGGCATTTGCTTTCCTGTATTCCTGTAATCGAGTCCAACTTATGGGAGGAGAAAAATATATCCTGGAAAAGAGTACCTCCGAGATCTCTACAGTAATAGACACCTTGCATGTGACGTCAAAGGAGCTCAATTTGGAGGGAAGGGAAACAATACAATTTTAATGCTCCTTGGAATTGGAAACCTATTGTTTTGCCCTCCAAATTGAGCGGCATTCCGAAGTGCTGCAAGGAGTCTATAGATCAGAACACTACATAAAGAAATATATGTATGCTTTATTCTCCATGGATTCGAAATCAATTTATTTACATATTGGGCTTCCTGTTAGCCATAGAAATGAGGCTGGAATTGACATGAATCCTTATACTCATAAATGAAGGAAAATTCGTAAAGAAAATTCCAGGCTTTAAACATTTTGTTTTTACATGAAATTGAGGTTCCGACTGACATAATCTGACAAGAAATTGAGACACATACAACTAAAAAAAACAAAATGAAAAAACTCGTTTTCATGAGCATTTWAAAAAAAATTATCTACCAGTCATTCCCGTGTACATGAAATTGAGGCTGTGACTGATATCACCTACTTATACTCTTGCATCATTCAAGATGGGAATTTTCCAAACGTTGAAGTACAGTTTGTTTATAGTACTCTTTTGTATAGGGTATGCCACAAGGTTCAGTACTTGGACCTAAAGTATTTCAAAAATATTATCATCATTTCTAGTGTTTTATTGGTGGAAGTGACGTGGAAAATCTTAAAAAGATATATAGAAATATACTTATGAATATATTAACCCATTAAAAGGTTAGCCACGCGTTTGTAAGATGTATGAAAGAAATGATTACTGGGTTGCCTGTGGAGGGTTGTAGTTTATGAAGAGTTGGGAGACAGGGCCTATGGTTTAATGTCCTGCCCCAAAGACTGGAAGGTCTAAACAATTTGCAGATGTAATTACAAATGCAGTTCTGCTTCCAAGTTATTTTTAGACCCCCACCACCTCCGAGTATTGGTCAGGCCGTGGGCCTGCAGGTTCCCCCCTTTGGTTAACCATAGAGGTTCCTTGAATGCCAAAGTTTTGCAAGCCCCCGATCCCTGGTTTCACCACTGCCCACAGAGAGTAGATTGGATTATGCCCAATAGAGTATCAGCAGTCCATTTTGGACCTATGGAATCCCTTTTTTTTGTGTGTGTTCGTGACATGGACCTTTACGGGCCATTATAATGGCATTTTTCCAATTAAGGAGAATGACAACTTTCATTTTGGTGTATTTGACATTTTTAAATCCTCATATCTTGTCAAGAATTTTTGATAGGATTTCTCACATCTCATCTACGTTAGCAAGCTCTATCATTTCAAGGAGAAGCAGAAAAAAATATTTTTAAAGATTATTCTAAATTATAGAAGCCACATCATGACAAATGTCTACTGCTGGTCCAAGAAAGCAAAATAAACATTGTTCATACATATAGTACCAACTTTTATTACAAACAACAATCATAACAAAAAATAGACAGGCAACCCAATATGAAGGACATTATTTCTTCTCATCTTGTCTGTGCATGTCTGTCTGTCCACTTGATCTTGAATCTTTTTCAAAGCCGCTATATCTTGATTAACGAGTTTCTCACGAAGCAGATAACCTTAATGAATCAATAATACAGGCAACTTCTTCGTCAAAGGACTTAAATTCTATCTTTGAACTTGAAAAAAACTTTTTAGCTTGCATCACTTCAGACAAATGCGTAAGATAAAGACTTGATAACAATGCCTTTTGAATATAGAATTATTGAATTTCCAGGCCCTAAAGTGAAGAATCAATCTCCAAGTACCAGAGTTTCTATTTTAGACCCTCTTTTCACGACCAAGGTGTTTCTTTCCGTTGTCCTTTCATAATAAAATCAACTTTTTCCTGAATTTCATTGTTGTACAGCCTCAAAGAGCTCTCATATTTCTTCCTCCGCCTCTTGATCGTCGGCTTTTCATATCTCATTTTCAGAAGAACGTCCTTTAGCTGTTTTTCTGAAGACATAATGGTCCTTAGCGATCGTAGAGCTGCGTTAACGCCGGTTTTTTCAGCCACCATTATCGTCCTTGCTAAAAACTGGTGATGCGCCATCTTGGATTTGATATTACCCATCATGCTTAGAGCAAAACACAGGAAGCCCAAACTCATTTTAAGTTTAATTTCCTTGTGATATTCCCGGGGGGTGGGGTACTCCCCTATATTCGCTATACGGGTACGTGCCGTCAAACAGGGTATAGTTTCCAGCGATTCTACTTTGGAACAGGTTATATAAAATCGCACTCGCTCTGGAACAGGGTATATGAAATCACGCTCTCTCATCTCCGGAAAAGGGTTTTCAGCAATCTTGCTCTGGCACAGGGTATGAATTTCAGCGAATTTTACTCTGGAACAGGGTCAGGGTTCAGAGGGCTCAGCGGCACATCCCTGCCCTAAACGGGCAAGAGTATCCCCCCCCCCCCCTCGGGTGATATTCTTTATTGAAGACTCAAAAGACTTTGAAACTATAGTCATAATTTAGACTAGTGAATTCTCACTTTCTTAATATTATTGTCTTATACGCACTATGTGTGTTCAAGGGCGGATTCAGCCAAAAACATTTGGGGGGGGGGGCTAATTGAGTTTCTTCCGTCAAAACAATGGAAAACAATGTAAAAAAGCATTGTCTTTTTTCCTGCAGCATTGTTTTTTTGCCCCCCCCTGGATCCGCCCTTGGTATTTTAGCCTTTAAAAAACTAGTTTCGTTGTTTCAACYTCTTCAGTTTGGCGCATGCTTGGATGGGTTGTTTACTAGAGACCGCTGTATCAGGACCGCAGACAACTATTCCTTCTTTTCGCTCTTTCCAAGATGGTGGTATGTGGCAATATTTTTATAACTTCAAAAAAATCTTGTCCGATTGCTGTATCTTTAAAAGAAATATATACTCTAACCCCCAGTTTTGAAGATAGGATCAACTAATTATTTTATTAGCTCGCTTAAACTATGTTTTTATAGCATTTTTGGAGCTATTTCGAACATCTTTGCCTCAAAGTGACGGTATTTCGATAGTGTTTTGAGTACTTGTCAAGCGATTGTCAATCGAAATTTATATTTTTTTTAGAGAATATCCTTGCAGTTCAAGGCCAACTTGGAGAACATCACCAACGTGAAGCCCGATGGAGACGATTTTCGATGGTATTTGAAGGTAAAAAACAAGATTTTCCATTATTTTTGATTTATTTATGATAATGTATTATTTAGTTTTACTTTACTGTTTGCATCGTCTCTACGATTCTTTCAAACGATTTTAGAATCTCGCAATAAAATCATCTATTCTTATCACATAACGCTAATACAGTTGAACCCTATAAAATATTATTTTTAATGTGGCCAACGTTTTGGCGGCTATATTAAAATAAATTATTCGAATCTTTGATTATTTTTCAAACAGAATGGTGTAAGAGGAGAGGGATTGTATTGCATTTGCATTGTATTGTATTGCATAAATATCTATAAAATAAGATATTATTTTAAATCTGGTCAAACTTTTGGCGGCTATATTGAAATAAATGATTCGAATCTTTGATTATTTTTCAAACAGAATGGTGTAAGAGGAGGGGCATTGTACTGCATATTTATATAAATAGTTTATTTGATTTTTTTTGTGTTGGGGAGGGGGGATATTTTACCAATAGCTTGTCAATCAAGCACCCCACTAATAATAATTCCCCTATTGATAGAGCACATGCAGCAAAACCATGAAATAAACACAAAGTTGATACTGACAAATAGCACTATATAGTGAGCAATAGTTGCTATCACTCAACCAGAACACTCATCATACAAAGACAAATACACAAGAGACCATTTGTGTCTTTTGTTTAACAAATGTTCTGGCTGAGTGATAGCAACTATTAGTCACTAGATACGTGCTATTTGTCACTATCAACTTTGTTTTTATTTCATGTTTTACTGCATGCACTCTAACAAACACGTCTAATTAACAGCGTTATTTCCTCCTCTATCCCCCCTCCTTTTTCAATCCTTCTTTGTCTCTTTCTTTATATGTTTTGCTTTTTTCTTACCTTCTTTTTCTTTTTCTTTTTTTTTCTTTCGTTCTTACTCCTTTCTTTGTTTCTTCTATTCTTTTTTACCTTTATTTCTTTCTTCCTTTCTTTCCTTCCTTATTTCTTTCTTTCTCTAACTCTGTCTCTGTTGCTTTTTCTCTTTTTTTCTCTAACTCTGTCTCTGTTGCTTTTTCTCTTTTTTTCTCTAACTCTGTCTCTGTGGTTTTTTTCTTTTTTCTCTAACTCTGTCTCTGTGGTTTTTTTCTTTTTTCTCTAACTCTGTCTCTGTCGCTTTTTCTCTTTTTCCTCTAACTTTGTCTCTGTCCTTTTTCTCTTTTTTTCTCTAACTCTGTCTCTGTCNTGTCTCTGTCGCTTTTTCTCTTTTTCCTCTAACTTTGTCTCTGTCCTTTTTCTCTTTTTTTCTCTAACTCTGTCTCTGTCGCTTTTTCTCTTTTTTCTCTAACTATGTCTATGTTGCTTTTTTTCTTTTTTTCTCTAACTCTGTCTCTTTCTTTTTCTATCTCTTTCATTTCATTAATATTCTTTCATTTCATAATGTTCAAGAATTTTGTGCGAGGGATGTATACATATATATGCTTGTATACATATTTTTCTTTTTTCAGTTAAAATGTCTCAACTGTGGTGAAGAAACAAAACAGTGGATTTACCTTTGTTCCATGGTAAGGGAAAAAACTATGGGAGGGGATGGTGGAGCACTTAAAATGAAAATAAAAATATAAGAGATAAGATCTTACATAACCTAATTTAGAGGGGGGGGGGGGGGGGGCAGAGTTATCCGAAGCCACCCACCTCTGCAAGTGAAATCCTGAATTTTGTCCTCAAATATCTCCAAAATTAAGAGTCAAACCACAGAAATGAATGTACTGTATGTTTGCATGGATGATAAACAATTTATTCAGGGGTGTAGCGGGGTCTCAACTATTGKGTGGGGACGGGGGGCAATGTACCATTATCCCTCCCTCCAAATCCACAGAAATTTCACATGAATTAATTAAATTTTGGTGCCGACAACACCTTGTTTTATTTGGAGGGGGAAGAGAGAGAGAGGGGGGGGGGGGGGCATTTGCCTCCTAGTGCTCCCTCCTTATACTAGTGAATTTATTTGTGTATAGATGGTTGCTACAAACCATAAGGTTGGATCCCTAAGGTCTCTGAAGGTGGGATTTACCATTACCTACCAATTACAATGAACTGTGTCTTTTGTCACAAACACATTTTTAAAGTGAACTCTATTGAAGAAATAATACTATTTTCACCCTCATCTCATGCCTGATCCCACGCTTTTTTGTGCTTTCGTTGTACTTCCTGCATTAGGTACTAAACATAGCACAGAAAAACCATTCAATTAAATCTTGTAGTTAAAGACAATAATTGATTCTCTTATTTCAGGAAAGTGTGGCTATCAAAGGGAGTCGTGGATCAGCTAACTATGTCTCAAAGTGCAAACTATGTGGAAGAGAAAACTCACTCGGTGAGATTTTTTTTTTTTTTTTGAAATCATTTTTAAAAATCCATTCTAAAACTCATGAATATTTAATGAGGGGAAAACAAAGCAAATCACTACTGTGACCGTGGTTTGGAAATGTGTTTTTTTCTCCAAGAAATATTCATGAGTTTGAGAAGTAATTTGGAACACTTGAGAGAGTTCTTCCTCCGATTTCCAAACACCTCAAAGTCAGTTTAAAAAAGTCGAAATCAAAGGAAGAACTCTCTCTCGTGTTTGAAATATTACTTCAATGAAATTGAAATTGTAATGCTATTTTCTTTTATTTATTCAGATATTATCAAGGACAGCATTAAAGAATATAATGTAAGTATTTTTGCTAGAGGACCACACACTGCGGTTTTCTATTGCTTTTGTAAACTACCTTGTTGTTTGTCTTTGAAGGCAGATGACAGTAATCACTTCAAAACCATGGTTACTTTTGACTGTCGTGGTTTGGAACCCTTTGATTTCTCACCAAGGGTAGGTTAATTCTGCTGAATAAGGATCGCAAGGAGTAGGAGGTGGGGAAGGAGAAATGGAATGAAGCTCTCTTTCCTCCTTCTCCTTTTTTTTTTCCTGCTTCCTTCCTTCTTCTCTCTCCTCATTTTCTATCCCTTCTCATTCACGGGCTCATCCTCATCCTTGTCCTCATCCTCATCCTCTTCCTCTTCCTCTTCCTCTT